GTAGTGGTTCCACTAGTTAATTACCGAAAAATCAATTAGGATAATCATCATTTAACAAACAAAGTCCACATCGGACCAAAAAACTTTAGGTATATAAACAGCTAACCCTTGTCTTTAGATTCAGTATCAATTTACTTCTCCTGAAGATGTTAACCTTGTTAGCGAAACGCGCATCGAGTGCAAAAATATTAGTTTGGTGTTAGGGTAATTGATCTCTAGAAAAAGTTTTCAAAAATTGGTTTGCAAAACTACTCACTACCTCACCTAACCCCACGAACACAGGGCACTGATAAAGAAATATTGTGAAACGGACAAAAAATTATTATTCAGCCAGTCCAGCTAGACGAGCCTTCACTTCTATCAACTACATTTGATAGCACGTTAACTAACTATCTGGGCGACTAGGGTCCACAGGCAAGAAATGTTTATGACTGTACTCTTATTTTTATCGCCGTTCCAATTGGGAATGGATATACTATAACGCTTTTCAGCAGTTTTAATTGAATTTCTATAAAATATCGAGAAGTGACCTGCGCCCTCGCCTCCATAAGTCAAGAACTAAGTTATTTCGCTTTCTTGCTCTACATCAAGAAACAAGTGAGAACGGTACAAAAGTTGGGAAAGTAGAAAGCCAAAACTTTTCCCAATAAATATGTAGAAATGACCATTCTGATTTTGAAAACAAACCTAGAACTGGGATACAATATTCAAAACTATTAAGGTCGATACCTGACACTAGACTTCTAGACGCTTCCAATACTACGGTAATGTCAAAGGGTTCCCTGATAATTCTGAACAGTGATAAGGGTCCCAATTATGAATTATATATTTCAAGTGTTCAATACACTAAATACTACGAAAAATGTGCTCATAATCAATTAGAAGCGAGTAATTTCAGTGACAATTGTTTAACGGGAATAGAAAATATTTCCTTTGCGTTATAGAAGTCAGTGTAACAGATTGTGTTGAAACAAAATAATACACAGTTGCATTATTGATCCATTTATGGGCGTGATGTACTGGTGATTGCCAGTCGGGAAATATTTACAATTCTATTGGTAAGACCCTAAGTCAATTAAATCAAAGGAATAGTACAATCAAGTAGTGAAATCAGTCTCAATTAAAATATTTATACAAAAACAATGTTCAAAAAATAATTGTATACTAATTATTAAGTAATGGCTCATTTTTCTGCAATATTTTACTTGACTAGTGAAAAAAATATACACAAAATATACAAAAACATTCTACTTTCATGAAGTAGTGTAAGTCTCATATTCATTCACACTTATAGTTCGTATTATCGAAACACAATGTTATACCATTGTCACGTTCCTTATTTTTTTCTCTCCAGAATTGACTGAGCTCATAGAGCCCTGTATATTGGAATTGAATTGTTCCCTTCTATTCATACTTTGATAGATGGAATGATCTTGTGGGAAGCCAGTTTGTTGAAGACCATATACATCGTAGTTAACTGGGTACCTGTTATCATTGAATATTGGCAGGGGTGGAACAGGTGGTGGATAATGCTCTTGAACTTGATGTCCATTTGAACTCAAATGATCGTGATTTGAAATTAGGTCTCCATTTGACATTTCTTGTTGATCCTGATCCATCAAATCCAGTGGACTGCGCCTTCTCTCATGCTCATGTAAAAGTTGTGATGCACTCCAAGAATTGAACGGGCTCAGAATTGGTTGATTTCTGTTGACTGTATTAACAGAAATAACACTAACTCCTCCATAATCATCTCGTTGCTGATACAATTGTTGCTGTTGCTTCAATTCTTCAATAAGTTGGTGCTCTTGTTGATTCACGAGTGAATAACGTTTTTTAGAGTCTTCCTCGTATCCGTAGTTATTCGCAGGAAGACATATCTGATGGGAATCTGAATCAACACCGACATAACTTGAACTTAAATTTTGTGAAACATTCGGAGGAGAACTTGGTACTATTGTGATTGTCGAGCTTAAATTATCTTTCCTGAGAGTAGTTTCTTTGGCAGTTTTTTTGTCACCATTTCTTCCTCTCCTCTTGATAATACAGAAATAGCAATACAAAATCGATAATATCAATAAGAGTATCAAACCAATAACGACAGGTAGTATGAGTTCCAAACCTACTGGCATACTTTTTACCATACTCGTGCTAATAGAATCTTTTCCTAGTGCATTATTTGGCCAAACTGCTTGTTCGATAGAGGGATATGTTGTCGATGTGGTAGAGGGTAAAGAAGGGGCCGGCATAAAAATTCTCACCCAATTTGATATAGGTGACGACAAATTTGTCGTAACTTTTGAATATGCTTTTATGGCAAAATAGAGCGGCCTATCAAGAAGATCAGTTTTTTTATTGAAGTCTAAGGTGAATGTTGTTTCAGATCCAGGTGCCAGAGGAAGTGGTTGCCCATCATCCCATAACTCTGAATTAGTTTCGAATTTGTCTAGGATGTCTAAAACGGAATCAGCATATCGAATCTCATACTTTGAAACCATCTCTCCAGCCATATCTGGGGATGTCCAAGACAATCGTACTTTGAGATCGTCTGGAATAATCTCAGTCTTTAAATTTCCGATGCGGCCGACTGAAGATGATTTGGACAAGAAAAGATCGTCCGACGTTATCTTGAGTGAAATCTTCGGTAGAACTCGTTGAAAAGGCGAAACTGGTTGCACATTACTGGACATTATGGAACTACCACAGCACTCATCATTTCCTGAAATGAAATTGAAAAATTATTTTAAATTATTTATAGGTAATGTGATAAGATTTGCAAAATTTTATTTTTGTAGAAAAATCTTCAAATTCAGATATTTTTCATACAGAAAACTAGATATAAAAATATGGGTACAGTTTGTCAAGAATAGGAAAAATGGTGAAATTTTTGCGGCCTGCGTGTAATGAAGAGCTAGAAAGCATTCGGAGGAACAGAGATGCACATATTTGCGATTAAAGTTGTCTCAGCTTAGTGTAGATGTACAGTCTCCTGAATAAACTGTGAAACCAACGTACAAAGTCCACACTATTAGCCCATGTCATTATTAAATTCAAAATAATTTTGGTCAAGACAGGAAATGAGGGCTATGAAGATAACTTGTTCAATTATGGGATTAGTATTCTTTTGAGTTAGAAAATTATGAATAATGGTTATGCCATTAATCGGAGAAATGTTTGGAATAAATGAATAAAACTTGCNGTACAAAGTCCCCACTATTAGTCCATTTCATTATTGAATTCAAAATAATTTTGGTCAAGACAGGAAATGAGGGCTATAAAGATAACTTGTTTAATTATGGAATTATTCTTTTGAGTTAGAAAATTATGAATAATGGTTATGTCATTAATCGGAGAAATGTTTGAAATGAATAAATAAAACTTGCTTTGAACTAGAAGGTTGCTTTCATTTTATTTCCAAATATGTACATTTTTTATACTTAAATTAAACGTAAAATACAGCAAAAAATTTCTAAAAACGTAACAATTACAAATAAAACAATACAAAGCAAAAAATTATAGAAGGCAAAAAAGGCAAAATTTTGATAAAAAAATATTTTATCTTAATCTTCGGAGGATGAATCTTCGCTAAGGTCTGAGCTGATGTAATCTGGTTCAGTGTAACTATCTACTTGCAACTTGATTATCATGTCGTCTACTATGAAATCTAATATTGGTTCCTTTTCCATGAAAAACTGTTCAAAATTTTGAGCATGCTCACAACGTTTTTTCCACTCAGTTTCAAAAAACGTTCTAAAAAATTCATCGCATAATCTTTCCACGGTCTTTAAGCTGAAAATCTACATTTCTTTGTGCAACATATTGCTTCAAAGACGCCCACAATAACTCTATAGGATTTAAGTCAGGGTTGTATGGAGGAAGCCTTAGAACGGTATGTCCGTGGGCGCTCATAATTTCATCAATTTTATACATTTTATATCGGGGTTTATGAATTTTAATTAGACTATACAAATCAATTTTTAACATATCTTCTGTGAAAGGTATATTTCGTTGCCTTAACCATTCCCTCATTTCGATCTTCCTATTACATAAAGTAGGAGACGTATTTACCTGCACATTGTAATAGGGAGCATTGTCTATCATAAAGACACTCTTTGATGGTAAATTAGGAATAAGCATCTCCTGTAGCCATTTTATATAATTCGTGAAGTTCATCTCGTTATGCTAATCACCTGACTTCGTATTTGATCTAAATTTCAAATAAGCATTTTTCACAAAACCATTTTCACAGCCCGTATTCATTATTATTAGTCTTTGCCCTTTTGATACTAGTTAATGTTAACCTTCACTGGTGTTCTCATACCAGGTTTTTATGTGGGTATGCGAGGAATGAATATAGGTTTCGTCCATGAAAATTATGGGTCGCTTTTCTTCTCGAAATTGTTTCATACTTCGCAAAAAATTTGTTCTTAAGTTAACGATATCTGGTTTTCCATTAATAATTTTCATTTATTTTTCGTTTTCCTCCAACGAAATCCCATGTCATGCATAACTTTTCTCAAGCTTTCGTAGGAACCAGCATAGTTATTTTCGGATTTAAATTTATGATGTATGCGCCGAAGAGTTGGAACCTTTTTATCGACAGTATAATAATTAATAATAAATCTTCGAAGCAATCCTTTATCAAAACCATCTAAGTTAGTTTTAGCTGCGGCTTTCTTTCTTTTTATATTTGGTGTCAAAAAAGCAGCGTCTTCTCCATTCTCAATCGATTTCATTTGCTTTGATATTTTTGTATACTGCTTAAACTCACGCCAGTTGCCATAGCAGCTCTTTTTTTAACTTGTTTAAAGTCCTTTATAGGTTTATTTTCTGCCGCTTCTCATTGCATAAAAAAATAACATTGGCTATAACTTCCCTCTTTTGACTCGTCAGCACTTTACGATTAAGGTTTGATTTGAACTCCATCCTGTTTAAGTTACAATACTCAAATTGTAACCTTTACGCTTTATTTCTGCTCGGTTAACCCACGATGCTCACTTCACAACAAACAAATTCGACTGACTGGGCTGTGCGGGTTTCCACTACTGTCTTCTGCGCACAGCTAAGGCGGTCTCAAATTAATATTTCGAAACTTTTTTCTATTCTTGACAAACTGTAACATGTAATCATTATTCAATGAAACTTTTTCGATCAACTTCTGATGACCAAAAATAAAAATATATTTATCAGTATTACATATAATTGAAAATATCTTATTATACCAAAATTGGAAAAGATTAAAAACATTGATCTGCCCTGTATATCGATCTGTATATAGAACATGTGTTACCATTTTCATAGAACTAGTTTATCTACGAAAAATATGAAAAAAGTGTTCGCGGTGAATCGTCAGTAATACATGAACATTTATTTGAAGACGATACTGAATGAAGGGACTATAATTGACTTTGAACGATTTTTGGTCTAAATACTCGAATGTAATCGAACAAATATTTTGATGACCTTCAAAGTGACTGAGGAATTCAATGAAATGTTGAGAATTCAATGAAATGTTGAGAATTCAATGAAATGTTGATGTATAAAAAAACTGCTTACCGTTTTTTATCGAATTATTACTCCATGTATACGCCGTGTTGCCATTGTCATCAACAACAACTTCAAATGTGTATAGTCCAGGTCCGCCCTCGTAAGTACTAAAATATCGTGTGTAAATACCATCGCCTCTAGTAATATCAGGGTCACCAGACCCGCTATCTAGGAGTTCTATTTTATACTTTTCTGATTTGGACCCATTCATGCCAACTTTAGTGACTGTAACCTCAACTTTTGATCCTAAAATGGGTAAATCGCCATACTTTACTTCAACCAGTAAAATTAGAGGACTTCCTGGAGAATTTCTATGAGTTCGAAAGTTGGCCCGGATAACTGGCGCAAAAACTCCTTGAGGAGTTGCCATCACCTGTATGAAGTGGGGTTGTGGATTACCTTGATAGGGTTCAACAGTATACGTCCAGGTTCCCACCTATGCAAATAAAGTATTGTTGAATATTTTTCACTGATAGATTCATCATATATGTCAAAGATTTGAAGTACATCAAAATAATTGCAATGCGTTTCAAATAATATTTTTTGTTTTTAGTTATCCAAAACTAAAACACCCAATATTTGAATGTTCATGAAATATTTCAAACCGCAGTTTAAAATTATTGCAGTATCCACTAATCAAGATTTCAAGCACAGTAAATCCCTTCACCATACCCCATAGACTACGACTCTGAAAAGATTATTTTTCTGAAAAAGTGCTTTCACTTTTCCATCATGTTGTAAAAGCAAAATAACCTTCACTGATAGTGATGTGTAGCCCTTCCAGATAGTTGAGATCATAGTTTCAATTCAATATTTGCGGCAATAAAGGTATTTTTCAAAGTGTGATTCATCAATTTGGATAAGATTCGAAAATAAATAAATGGGGGCGTGTTACAATAATATTCGACAGAAAACATCTACTCTCCTGGCGAATAACACGACTGACATTGAATCATATCTGAGAAACATTTTTGGAACGTTTCTCACAAAGCAAATGTTTGCAAAAGGGACTCTAGTTCGCTAAACTCACTAGAGTGATCACTTACACAGTGATTTCGGAGTGTTACTCCTAGTTAATGCAATACAAAACAATCGTCTGAGACAGCACGTATTTCAAACACAGTGAAATAGTAATAGTTTCATCCGGGACACCTTAACAACATATTGATTTTGATTTCTAGTAGAGTTTTAGTTCACAGAATGCTTCTTTCTAGCTGATCTAGCAAATCCACAATTTTCAGTGATTATGATATGGTTTCAGTAAGATGGAGTATCACCCAATTACAAGATGGATGTCACGCAGTACATCGACCGAATATGGCGAGTTTCGATGCAGTCAAATATGAAATATATCTAGAATGTTCTGAACAATCCAAAAATTGAATAATATCCAACGTGTTGAGTTTGGAATAAGAAAGTTGGTATTAGCCACTGATACATATTACACACTCTACATAATGTTTCTAATAGGCAATTTAAAATACTAGCCGCAGTATATGAGTAATTTTTTAAAACTTCACCATTACTTCATTATCAAATGTATTCTATTTGCTGTATAATAAAGCACAGTTTCTTTTCCAAAATGATGATTTCCAGAAATAAATACAAGTAAATCATTTTGTGTATACTGATAACCTTTTGAGTCGAAACTGAGATTGAAAACAATTATTTACGAGGTGGCGAAAATTCAGTTGCACATTTCGGTAACGGTGGAAGATACGATGTTAGTTGAATTAGACAAAAAGTGTACTTTTCAGAATGCAATGGAATCAAGTTGAGAAACGAGACTATCATAAACTGTCATGAATTATGGAACAAAAATGGAATCGTTGATTTAGACTGTTGTCCTGAGGTGTATTGAGTGTACAAAATATGAAAGATATTTTGGGAAACAAAGGTTTTGACTTTATATTGTATGAAGATGGAGAAGAAGAAAGGTGAAATTTATCTTTTTCAAAAATTAATTTCTCCTAAAAATATGTGGCTGGGATAAAATCAACAAACTGATTGACTTCACTATTCACTGTCATGTTATCCAGACTGGTGCTGAAGAGGCAATAAGACAAATGTCTCAAAACATCGATGTCCACTAGTGAGGATGACATTGTTCTATGTAAGTGAAATTTTACCTCATTAATTCAGTATATTGTGTAGCAATCTTGTGAATGATATCTGATTCAATTCCAAAACGAATGTTTGGAAAGATAAAACTGGAAACTTCGCGAAACTAAAGCTATTTATGCTATACAGATATATCATACAGATAAACCATACAGGTATACCACCCTAAATTAATTTTACAATTAGCCTTATCTATTATTTTACAATATGTCCTTATGTGATGTTTAAATGCTATAGCTATATATAAAACAATTTTCAGCTATATAAAGATTAATTTCACAATATTGCACAAGCACGTACAGGTATATTCCTGACAGTTCACATCACTGTGGACAGCACAAACGTGCTGGGTTGAATTTTTTGGTGCATCGTCATTTGACTTTCCCTATAACATATGATAGATTCACAAAAGAAAAACGTACAATACAGAAAATAGCAGCCACTAACGGTTTCTCGAGGGGTATTGTAGATGACATAATAAGGAAGAAGAAGGTTAGGTCAAGAATGAACGAAATGTCAACTTTCAGAAAGGACAAAAACCAAGATAAATACATCTCAGTTCCATACCACCAATATACGAAGAACTTTGGGAAGATTTTCAAAGAACTAGGTATGAAGGTGGTTTTTGACAAAGACAAAGTCGAGAATTCGGAAAAGACTGGAATTTACGAAATTGAATGTAAGGACTGGGATGCAAAATATTATGGACAGACAAAAAGACCTATTGAAGTGAGATATAAGGAACACATAGCACACTTAAAATATGGAAGACCTGAAAAATCAGCAGTTGCCCATCATATTTTGCAACAAAACCATTCCATAGACTTCAGTACATTGAGATTAGTTAGAAAAGTTAACAACAACAGGCATCTAGATGCCTATGAGAGTGTAGAAATAAGTAAACCTAATAATATTATGAATAACGATGACGGACCAATACCAAATAGCATACTATATAGCTTGTTAAAATAATATTGTTGGGTTTACTGATTACTATATAAGGGCACATTGTAAATATATTAAGATAGGCAATATTGTGAAATTAATCTTTATATAGCTGAAAATTGTTTTATATATAGCTATAACATTTGAACATTACGCAAGGACATATTGTAAAATAATAGATAAGGCTAATTGTAAAATTAATTTAGGGTGGATACCTGTTGGGTGGTATACCTGTATGATATATCTGTATAGCATAAATAGCTTCAGTTTCGCGAAGTTTCCAGTTTTATCTTCCTCTTGAAGATGATCACTTGGTGATCGAAACACGTGTCGAGGTGTTAAAAATAACGATTTGGTGTTGGTAAAAAACTCCAGTTACATAGATCCACTGCGTTCTAAAAAGTATTTTTTTTGTCTAATTTAACATCGTATCTTCTACCATTACCGAGATAGCAATAGTGTGCAATTAAATTTTTATTTTTTTTTTACCTCTTCTAACCACCCTTATATTTGGAAATGAAATGCAAGTGCTACTTCCAAATTATAGTCTTTTCAGAGTCCAAAGTACATGTAGGTACACTTATTAATGAGATCGTTAAGCAACAGTCTATGAGAATTTCAATGGAAAATGTAATAAGTCTCACCTCAGAAATATTTGTGTTCAAAGTGATCATTTTGAAGTCAATGAATTTGTCATTCCTGTCGGTAAAAATCTGATGGCTTGGACTGATCAATTTCAACCCTTTGATCAATGGAGTCACTGTATTATGTGTGAATAATGTGAACTGAGCAGGTTCCCCCATATTAGAATCCAGCATAAAGCTACCTGTGACAGAAAGTCTGCCATCATCAGTAATTTCCCTACGATGAATTTCAATTGGAAGACCATCACGGCTGACGGAACTGAATTTTACTACAATATCATATAAAATATTGTGGAGTTCGAAGTAAGTTGTTAGTGAAGTTGTATCAACGTTGAGCTTCTCTTCAAAAACTGCATAGTCAGCTCCACCTGTCTCCTTTGCTAATAAGCCCAACGTGTTTTCCAGAACTATGCTCGGATAATTGATTGTCGCTACTTTAATCTTGAATTCCTTCAAATCTTTTATAAGGTCTTTTAAGTGGTCATCCAGAGCCATCCCTGCTGCAATTGCAACAATAACGTTATTTGCCGGGCCATTAGATTTCGTGCGTTCCTTTAGCATATTTGCAGCTTCATT